CAGCAACCCCCCCCCCCCCCCCCCCCCCCCCCCCCCCCCCGCCCAACCGATGAAAAATGAAAGGTCATTTAACAAAAAGCGAGGGTCTATAACCCTTTCTTGTAGTGCCTGAAACTAATTCCATGTATTGCATGGCGATTGGAAAATGATCTGCGCAACCCCACCCCCCGCGGGACCTGCCTGTTAATTAGATGAGACTTGGGTGGACTTATAAAACAGGATGCCAATGGGGTTAGTAGTTAACTGTTAATTGACCAAAAAAATAGTAGTTAACTAAAAAATAAATCTAGGTAGTTAACAGTTAACTGATATTTCATTTTTTTAGTTAATATTATGGTCGAAGTGCTTGTAAAATTATTACAGTTTACTGCCATTCGGCCAAAAAATTTGTAGTTAATTGACAATTGGGTACCCCGATTGTCACCCTCATAAAACAAAGCTATTCTTCTCGTTCTTTAGAAAATTTAAAGTACAAGAACAATAGTGGTGGCTACTACGATACAAAACAGGCCAAGAACGATGGAGCAAATTGAAATTATTTTTGACTTCTTGCTGTAATACTCTGCTGTGATAAAATCACCATTTAGGGTGGCATCACGTGTCTAGAAAAGGAAAAAAAACGCATATGAGGTTAAAAGTAATTAAGATAATATATACTTCCAGTCAGTTCTGTAGCCCGCGGGCCACAAGCATTCCTGCCCTTACAGGGTGTGGTTTCTAAGTTCAGCATACATAAACTTGTTTGTTTATGATTTGTATAGGAAATCACACGATCTCGAGTACAATTTGTATAGGAAATCACACGATCTCGAGTACAATTTGTATAGGAAATCATACGATCTCGAGTACAGTTTGGAAATTAATAGACACGAGTAATGTTTTGAAAGTTCTTGTAATTGCACGATTCCAAATTGTACGAGAAGATCGTGCGATTTTTTGTTTACAGTTCACTCAACAAAAGTAAAAAAAGCGAAGCGACGCCGTTCATCTTTGTCTATTTGTCGGCCAATTTTCAGTTCATCGCGCAACTGAAATGCATAAAAAAGATTAGTTCTTATTAGTTTTTACGGCTTTTTTTTTTTTTTTTTTTGCTCTTTTTTTTTTTTTTGCCCCTGTTGACATTGTTTTGGCCGTGTTTCCATATCGACTTAATTCGGTACTTTTACGGAGTACGATTAATCAGAGTCGAGTAATTTTGTTGAGTGTACTATAAAAGAAAAAAAATTCTTGGACTCTTGATTAACGACTAAATAGTATTGGGCTTTGGGAAACTGAAGGGAACAAATATGAAAGAAAACAAAACCAAATAAAAGCAGTCTTAGTCATTATTTACCCGTCTAGAGTATATGAAGGCTAATATTCCAAGTGGCAAACTACAGCACAGTAGAGAAAACAGTGAGAGGCCCCAGTAATCAGGAGGAAATATGCCATGTACCACAACAGGTGCTGGTTGCTATTGAAAGATAGGAAAGTAATTATTGAACTGCATGCTGTTGGTCATGGATTAACATAAGAATGATTAGCAATTATTCACCGAAGGCGAAGTGAATATCGGGGAATATTTACCGCGACGCGAGTTTTCGAGCGGCTTGGTGAATATTCCCTAATATTCACTGAGCCTGAGGAGAATAACGGTTTTAGTATTTTTTAGATTTTAGATTTTAATAAATAACGTAGAGAGAGCTTTTTTGCCTTTTTGAATTTTATTTATCTTTGCAAGCGGCACAAATCGTGAATATAGCAGCATAAGACGTAAATTGTGACCAATGAGCGCGCCTGATTTATTGCATTCACTTGTGTAAAAATACTAATAACTTTTATTGGAGAAACTTTCATTGAAATAATTTTCAAAAAGAACCTCGATTAAATTAATGAAAGAAAATAAGCTTAAATAAAAAGCTATACTTTCTATACAAATTATTAAGATAAAATATCTAAAACTACACACAAACAGATCAAAGCTAAAATACAGTAATAAATACATTGAAGAAAATTATATACTAAACGAGAGAAAAAGCCGTATTGTTTTTTCACCACATGACTGTACAGAATTTAAACGGCGGTACTTACGACAACGGTAACACGGCGGGCAGACGTTCCAATTAGCCGTTGGTTGTCTTGGAAACCAGGTTGTGCAGTTAGTGCGGGATTACTGTAAGTGGGATTGAAGGCTGGTGGTACTGGTATGATGCAGCCGTATGAGGGGTTATCTCGGTATACCAACAGTCCTTGATTGTCCGTATTTCGGTGAGATGGATTTGCAAACGAAACACGAACTGTGGAAGAAATGGCTAGAATATGTTGAGAAAATGGCGCAACTATGAACGATCGAGTTTGCTTGAATAAATATTGGCTGTAACTCACCGAGTTTAAATAATAACCAAAAAAATGAACCAAAAAACTTCTTGCCCACCCCTTTGAGATGTAAAAAGAACTTAATACACCTTGGTGAAGAAAAAAACAACATTTAAGCCTCCTACACTTTTAATTTTACCAAAAGAAAATGAACTAAGAGAAGGAATCCCCGTGCCCCATCATGTGCACACTTTGAYGCTATTTTTAGAATCATTGATGCTATTTTTAACTCGTTACCATGCCCGCGCGATAATTATGCTTCCCTTTAATGCTTCGTTTTAGAACACGAAAAGCGCTACGTCCACGACAAAAACACAGGCTTTGTTTACTGCAAGACTGGAAGCCGCCTACCCTCAAGAAATCAACCAATCAGGTTCTTCGCTCAAAATATCTCCAAGCTAAAAATAGCATCAAACTGTGCACATGATGGTTACAAGGCTATATACGTAGGATTCCTAGTTCATATTCTCTTGATTTTACTTTATGCTCTCTCCATGCACCCCCTCTGGATTTAGAACCCTCCTCCCCTGATATTTATTAGATTATTATTATTATTACAATACCCACACTTCATTTACGTTAAATTTACAAACTTCTATTATATATCAGTCAGGTAAAAACTAACCTGGTTGCGCATACATCTCTCTGATTACAAATGAACTGAAAAAATTTAATATCAATCAATAATAGTAAACAGTCAATTTTAAGTTGTGTGCGTTGTATGGTTCGTTTGTTTCAAAACATGTATTTTCAAGTCCTTCAGCACATGTGAGAAAAGAAAAAAATTTCCCCCGCAGAATCCTGTTTCAGATCATTACCGAAGCCTATAAGTGAATACGACTAAGGTCTTAAACTCAAAAGCTTTCATTCTTGATTCGGTTTAGAGAATATTAAGCTAATTGTACGAAGTTATTAAAACCGTTTTCATGACGTTTTGTTGCAGAAACATTTTCTTATTTGTCTTCATAAGTCAGTTAAGAAGTGCGAAGAAATGTAAAAGTTCACACAATACGCGAAAATAAACGTTTTCAGAGCGTAGCTCTTTCATCACACGTGATAAAATGTCATTTTGACTTGATAAATTCAAGCCTTTACTTTCAGTACATTAAAAATGCAAGAAGCTCAGACTGCTTTATTTCTTATTATTTCTGTTTCGATCGCCCAGAGAGCGGCACTGGTCATCAAGAAACGGTTAAAAAGAGTAAAGATTTTTCAGATTCTTACCTTGGATAAGGATGTTGAGGTTGTAATTAGCAGGAAGGAAGTTATATAATCATATACTATAGAGAATTCAAACAAACTCAAGCTCGAACTGCCAAATCAAAGCCCAATATATTATGTCGTACACGATGGAATCGAAACAGACTTCGGGGTGAAACAGTGACGTCACCAAGCTCAGCAAAGCTCTAACGACAAAAAACATTCAGACAAAGTAAAATGAATTAATTTAAAGCTATCATCCACCCTGCATCCACCGGCGGAAACACAACTACATTTTTGCTGATAACTGAATGGATCAGGAGATATAACTAGCTAAAAACTAGTGTGAGCTGCGTCGGTGTATCTAATGAAACAGTAATGATGAAAAGGTAAATTATACACCGTGAAAAGATGAAAAAACTTACTGACGTTTCGGACGCTAGTCCTTCGTAGTAGTTTACTCCGACGAAGGACTAGCGTCCGAAACGTCAGTAAGTTTTTTCATCTTTTCACGGTGTATAATTTACCTTTTCATCATTACTGAATGGATCAGGTTCAAGTAATCAGTAACAGTATTTCGCGATATATAGTTTACCCGTATACACCGAATCGAAACTGATATGGCGACCAATTTGAATAAGATTGGTATTTTTAATCATATTACTGGGTCACCTGAGGAAGACTACTTTCAAAACACAGCAGCCCAGTGAATGTTTTCTGTCGTTTAGAACCCCTCATAGGTGTTGCGTGATTTAGATGGTAGAGTAAATGTAAGTAAATTTTTCTTCCATCGTCCATCAATACTTTTCAAACTTTTCACTAAAAAAAATCTAAAATAATTCGAGGTTATCAGTAGGGCCAGCGGAGGATTTGCAATCACCGGTAAACTAGTATGCAACTTTGCATCTTTAATTCAACTTCGAAACCAGAAACAAGGTCAATGAGTAAGGTTGATGTTCTCATTACTGACCTAGTTTTTATTTACATATTAAAGGGAATTTACGCTTTAAGTAATAAAAACAAGTTTAATTATAGGAAGAAGAAGAAGAAGAAGAACTGGAAACCAAAGCAACGCGCAAGATTATAGAAAGCAGAATGACGCAGATTCCAACTACAATGGCTATCATGGCATATTTCTTTGCCGTTTGGCTGTAGTTGTTGGCTGAAGCCAGGTCCCCACGGTTTATGGCGTCACGTGCCTAGAGAGAAAATAATTAGTTACCATTATATTATGTAAAATAGCTAACATATCCATGACAGACCTCATATAAAGCATATGCTATTATAGGAAAATATCGGAAATATAGTCTACGATTTTTTAAATTAAGATTTACAGGCGCAACAGCAGACTCGTGATTTTGATACTTTTTCTTGTTCTTTTCATCCCGCGCGTGCACTGTTTCACGGGTAGAGTCATTGTTATCAGTTTAACCTTTTTGCTTTACTATCATGTGCTATGGGGTTCTACGAACGATGCATTGTTGACAGTAGACATGTAAGAGGGAAGCAAGTCCCAACATTAGAAAATCCACTCATTTCAAAAGACCGTTTTCGGCTTGGACGAAATGGTGATGTTTTCCCATTTCAGGCCATTCCCTTGAGTATCATTTTTTTTACGGTCGTGGAAGAGAAGACAAATAGGTATGAAAACAACTTAAACAAGGAATTATATTCTCAGGAGAATAACACGTGGTCTGAAATGGGAAAACATTACGATCAAGCCCAACAGCGCCGTATAACTGATCTATTGAAAGACGGAAAAAAAGTATTATGGTATATGCTTACGTTGCTCGAGTTGATGATGGCACAAATTCCAACGGGCCAGAAGCAGCACAAACAAGCAAACCATGAAAGTACACAGTGATCCGGGGGGTACATGGCAGGTGCAGTTTGCTAAAACGTACAAAGATAACATCAAGTGGTGTTGAAATGCGGGTCCAGGAGTTTTCCACAAGTGGAAAACTTTATTTGTGCCAGGATTTTACGCTTGATGCAGCGACAAATCTCATGACGAGATTGGCATTTGTGTCTATTGTCTATTTTCATCAGATAAATTGTCTTGGTGTCACGTGTTGTTTTGATATGTGCGGAGGAAGGAGGGGGAGGGGGGAGGGGTAAAGGAAGCGTTGCCCCTCACAAGGTTCATAATAAGGAAAATGTTTTTTCCCAGTAAAATGGAATGCAAAGGGGACTGAAACAAGGAAAGTATGTCCATATGTCACAATAAACGTGTGGCAAAATTACATTTGGAAATGCATGAAAACAAATGTCCATTTTCAAACTCACCACAACTGTGACAGTATGTGATACGGGCTGTCCTTGGGGTGGATACCCGGGCTGCCCTTGTGGTGGATACCCGGGCTGTCCTTGTGGTGGATACCCGGGTTGTCCTTGTGGTGGATATCCAGGTTGGGATTGGATGGCTAGAAGCAAAAGTTTATCCTTGCTGTTACTATATATTTACTCTTTATTCTCTAATTATAAGCCCATTGAGGACCATTCATTATTTAACGGGTGGAGGGGGTTGGACATGATTTTTAATCGCCATTCACCGTAGGGTTACTTAACAATTATTCGCCGAAGGAGAAGAAGAAGAAGAAGAAGAAGAAGAAGAAGAAGAAGAAGAAGAAGAAGAAGATTAAAGACATTTTTTCCTGTAACTGCAACAAAGCGGCTGGCCGCGCCATTTTGGATTATCGCTGGAGGTGATTGTCGTGTGATAGTGTGAGTTTTTCGACCAATCAGTGTGCGAGATTTTCAATAATCACCTGTGTATTTTTACTAAAATATTTTAAAATGAGTTTTTATACCACGAATAGCTTTAGGACTTTGGTGCCCATTTTCAGCACCGCTACCAACACTTTTAAAAATTCTTAAACAAACTCCACTCTATTAGTATAAACTCCAGTTTGTCCTAGACAGATCAATATATAAATAACAAACCACATTATTTATTCTAAATGCTGGCTACAATAGGTCATGTACGTCGGGCGGCCACAGTTTTTGAACTAAAATGTGCTATTTTCGAATTAGCCGGCGCATACCGCTGTGTTCCTCGATTACAGGCTCATTTACTCCGGGTTTAGAATCATTCCAATTTACAAAATCAAAAAAATATAYAACAGCAGTAAGAATGAAAACCTTTATTTAAGCAGGGTAATTAAGGTAATTAAAGACTACGCAACTTCAACAATACAACACTTTAAAATAGCTCACTTCCGAGATATGCTTCGTTTGTCACGCACAAAGGTTTCAGTATATGATGCTAAGTGCTAAATTAAAATTATTCTTACCGCCTGTCACGAATGACTGAGCATTTAGCACGTACCCTCATACTGAAACTTTTTATGCCAAAATATGTAAAAATATCATTTCTTTCAAATCACAGAGTAATGGCCTGGGCAGCCTGTGAGCTAACCCTTTTTAAACCCGTTCTAAAATATTTTGTAGTAAAAGAGCCCTCCGCTTCAAAAATAAATGTTGTTACCTTACACTCGGCAGCCGTGTTTTCGATAAACGCATGTAACGCGGTTCCAAACGTTACAGCGTTACCGGAAAACACGAATTATGAAAGCATGATGCTCAAAGCAAAATTTCAAAAGCAGTAAACGAACTTCTATTTCCTGTATCTATTTTCGACTTTCACATCCCCATAATGCCTTRCGTTTTTGTGGGGTAACCAAT